CAGAAAACTCAGCAGAGGGAGTGAGCAGTGGTGAGTGTATGGTAGACGGGTGAGCGTGAGTAGGGCGAGCATGGGCAAGGTGAGGAACAGCCACTTCCTCTCCTCCTCCCCACCCACAAACACGTGGAGAAGCTCACACTGGACGCAGAAATCACCACAAAACTCACCTCTGTCTTGCTGAAACAGCTGTGCTGAGCTGAACAACAACAGCAGCAACATACAAGTGACGCTGAACACGTGACTTGAGAAACAGCGTGGGACGCTGTAGCGTGGGGTCACTTACAATTCTCGGAGAATTTCGGCAAATTTCGGCCTGGATCCTGCTTGTACCTGTGTCTGGATGCTCAAACGTGCAAACACGACATCAGGATAACTTGTTGAGAGACGGATGCTTCTTGTATGGGATGATGAAGAGAAGATGACTTCATTCCTTCCTTCCTCTCTCAGGGCAAACACAACTGCTGCGACCACCGCTGCTACCAATGTTTAATGGGTTTGTTTGGTAGGTGCTGCAAGCGGGTGGTTAATGATAAAGACGTCTTCTTTGGAGGCTTCTTTGTTTATTGTTAAATCGTGGTGGGTACACAGGCTTGTGTGTTTGTGCCCATGGCCCGGGCAGGGCCATCCCACGAGAGAGAGCTGGCAGTACTTGTGTCTTCCTGCTAGGCCGCTGTGTGAGTGAGGGCGTGGCAAGGGCCAGCAGGCTGGCGTGCCCACCGGGAGGCCTGGCTACAGAGTGCAGCACCTGAGTGGCGCGAAATATGAACTAAGCTGGCAGACAGCATGGGCTGTCTGTGCAGACAGTACAGGCTGTCTACATTGTCTCTCAGTGTACTTGTGGCGCCCCTGCTTTTCATCGGGGGAATGTTGCATCTCCTGCCGAATCTTTTGCTTTCATATGGAGTGATTTTCGTGTGCAGGTTTGGTACCAATCCCTCCAGGACCTTCCAAGTGTATATTATCATGTATCTCTCTCGCCTGCATACGAGGGAATACAGATCAAGGACCTTCAACCGTTCCCAGTAGTTTAGGTGCCTTATCGCACTTTTGTGTGCCATGAAAGTTCTTTGTACACTCTCCAGGTCTGCAATGTCGCCAGCCTTGAAGGGGGCAGTTAGTGTACAGCAGTATTCCAGCCAAGAGAGCACAAGCGATTTGAAGAGAATCATCATGGGCTTGGCGTCCCTAGTTTTGAAGGTTCTCATTATCCATCCTATCATTTTCCTAGCAAATGAGGTAGATAAATTGTTGTGGTCTTTGAAAGTGAGATCCCCTGACATTATCACTCCCAGGTCCTTCACATTACTTTTCCACTCCATTGTATGATTAGAATTTGTGGTATACCCTGACACATTTTTAATTTCTTCAAGTTTTCCATATCTGAGCAGTTGAAATTTCTCCTCACTGAACTTCATATTGTTTTGAGTGGCCCATTCGAAGATTTGGTTGATGTCCGCTTGGAGTCTTGCGGTGTCTGGTCACTGCTATGGTGATTCGGGTGTTATCCGCAAAGGAAGACACGGAGCTTTGGCTTACATCTCTGTCTATGTCAGAAATGAGAATGAGCAATAGAATGGGAGCGAGTACTGTGCCTTGCGGAACAGAGCTTTTCACCGTGGCTGCCTGGGACTTTACTCTGTTTACTATTACTCTTTGTGTTCTATTTATCAGGAAGTAGTAGATCCGATCCATCTACCAACTTTTCCCGTTATTCCTTTATCCCGCATTTTGAGTGCTGTTACACCATGGTCACACTTGTCAAAAGCTTTTTGCAAAGTCTGTGTATACTACAACTGTATTTTGTTTATCCTCTACAGCATCCAGGACCTTGTCATAGTGGTCCAGTAGCTGGGACAGGCAGGAGCGACCTGCTCTAAACCCGTGTTGCCCTGGGTTGTGTAACTGATGGGTATCTAGGTGGTTGGCTATCTTGCTACTTAGAACCCTCTCAAAGATTTTTATGATATGGGATGTTAGTGCTATCGGTCTGTAGTTCTTTGCAATTGCTTTACTGCCACCTTTGTGGAATGGGGCTATGTCTGTTCTTTATAGTGCATGTGGGATGACTCCTGGGTCCATGCTCCTCTCCATAAAATGCTGAAGGCACGCGATAGGGGCTTCTTGCAATTCTTGATGAACACGGAGTTCCACGAGTCTGCGCCTGGGCAGAGTGCATGGGCATGTCATTAATTGCCTCTTCAAAGTCTTGTGGAGTTAGAATAATATCCGAGATTTTAGGGATGACCAAATTTTGGGTTTTGTTCATAAAGAATTCATTTGGATTGTCGACCCTTAGAGTGGGCAGTGGTTCGCTGAACACTGAATCATATTGGGACTTTAGTATCTCACTCATTTCTTGGCTATCATATGTGTATGTCCCATCCCGCCTAAGCAGGGGCCCAATACTGGATGTTGTTTTTCCCTTAGATTTGGCATAAGAGAAGAAGCATTTTTTTTTCAGTTTCCTTTATGACTTTTAGTTCTTCCTGTGATTCTTGTCTCCTATAAGATTCCTTCAGCTTAAGTTCGATATTTGCAATTTCATTGACTAGTGCTTCCCTTCGTCTGTATAGGGAATATCTCTCTCTTTCTAGTTTACATCTTCTCTTTCTTTTTCTTAATGGAATGTGTCTTGAGCAGATCTCAAGATCCACAGAATTCATTTTTTAAGGCAGATGTTCGAATCCGTGTTGTTTACGATATCTTCCCAGCTTGGGTCATTTAGGACATGGTTTACTTGATCCCATTGTATGTTTTTGTTATTGAAATTGAATTTTATGAAGTTTCCTTCATGACTGCTCACATTTTGCTGGTCCGGAGCCATGTGCATACATGTCTGTACCTCTATTATGTTGTGATCTGAGTGAATTGTCTTTAATACAGTTATATTACTTATCAGATCGTCATTGTTATTGAAGATGAGGTCCAGCGTATTTTCTAGTCTTGTAGGCTCTACTATTTGCTGGTTTAAGGTGAACGTGTTGCTGGAAGAATTCACCGACTGTATATGAAGAAGACACTATGTGTTGGTTATGTACATTGTGTATTATTTGCCACCTGGATAGTGGCAGCCTCGAGACTATTTATCCTATTCTTGTCATTCTCGTGTAGGATTAGCTGCATCTTACTGTAAGGCTTGAGAGGTGAGAAGCAGCTTCCATGTATTAAGCAGGTATTGCTGACTCTTAGACACATATGTTCCTGTACTCGTTTATTGAAATAACAGGTCATTCATATAGTTTGTTTCAGCCACAACAACGATTGGTGGTCACAGTACTGTGAATAGAACAATACACGAAAAAAGAGCATTTACCTCATTACTGTTACTACCACGCTATTACTACCAGCACTACTATTACTGCGCCCTCGCCCACTTGGGGAGCGGTGGAACGTGGTGTTATCAGCATTTTATCCAGTGATCACTAGATCATCATTGTGTTATAGAACAGTTCGGATACCATGTACCTTTGTATGTTTATTTATTTGACATGAAAAAATCTCCTTATGCAGATCCATGATGACCAGTTTTGCAAATTTTAATAAAATATAAGTACAATAATAGTGACTTACTCGTTCCGTTATAGTGAAATCGGGATACAGTTGCAAGCTGTACTAGGATCTTATTAAACACAGTGTTTATATTCACTTAGAGTCTTAGATGCATCTAAGTAGTAATCTGGGACTGTTATTACAGAATCGAATGTCATGGCTGTTGACATTCTTCCTGCTCACAACTCTGTCTCCACCATCCCTGCTGCTAGCTGTACACAGGCTAGGTTGTCATTTGAAAGCGTACAATGGTGCCGATAATTGTACAGAGGTTAAGCTATCGGTGCAGAGGCTAAGCTGTAAGTCTGTTCAGTTGTACATACATTCACATTACTTACTAGCAACGCCACAAAGCAAAGTGTTGAGACATACCTCACTGCATAGAAAACACTTACACTTGTAATTGTACCATAAGAAGGCAAATTCTCATTATTTTCTGGCTTTCTATTCGTAGTTATATTTGAGTTTTAATGTTCTACTTTCTGTAAAAAGAAATAGTTTTTACTACCCTCCCCCCCCCAAAAAAAAAAAAAATACCGGCTAGATCAACTGCTTTATGCATTTTCGGAACGAGGGAAAGAGGAGAGTGAGCTCACCCCTTGAAAAAGGCAAGTTTTTCTTCATTTCTTTACAGTACATAGTTATATTCAGTTTCTATAATCCCATAAGAAAATAACTACATTTGTAGTTTGTCCAGAAAACTTACTACAATAGTTCTGCCACGTCTACCCACAATACACAGCTTAAATATTAAAATAAAATTAGAACCTTCTAAGTAAGATATGTCACCTTTCATAGTTTGAAGCCGATAGGATAAACCAATATCTTAATTTGTTTATTAAAATTGGTAGATTGAGAGTTACACAGGTAAATAATGCCAGCTTTCCTTTGAAAAAAATCACCAGCAATAAAGCCGAACACAAGATGCATTAATTTTTATGGCATAGAAACCAATTAGTGAACTTGTACCTACACAGAGTGAACTAAAGCGAACCTTTCTTTCTGTTAGATTCATCAGCGTTGAAAGTTGAAAGCAATTCAGAAGAAGCATTCTCGAGTTATCACATGGAAAGATTCCTAACAACTTTTAATATAAAACTAACAGATTTACGAATACACAATCTATTTGCAATTATAACCAACTTCTTAGTAAAATGCACCAGTGTGGAAAGTTTGGAGCCGATCAAAAGAAAAGTTCTCGGTTATATTTGCAATACATAAATCATAATGTTATATTTCACAGAATCATCTGTTACAGAAACAAATAATCTTTTGTTGCGAAGATGGATTTAAAATACATCATATTGTTGATGTTGTATGGCGACATTTAACATCTGCTTCGTGCGTCGTACTTGACTATGGCTGAAGAAAATTGGAATGAGTTCAAGTGTATTAGAATTAGCAAAGTGTTCAAGGACGGCTAGAGCCATCTAGCGAGTCAGTTGTGGTTTGTCAAGGCTTGTGAGAACAGTGACCAGGAGGAGGATATACTATATACTGAACTAATAGATAACTAGCAAATTCATTGATGAACTGTGAAGTTAGTAGTCATGTGATGTGAGGCACTGGAACTGCTCTGTATTTGCCTGCAGTATTATAATTTTTACTAATAGACTCTGGAAAGCTAAAGTAATTTAACTAGAGCGTCCCTACATTGCACTTCAGTTAACACAACAGATTTTTTTTCTTGTAATTGCTAAATTTGCAGCCTGTGAGCTCTTTCCCTGCCTTAGCTTATATCAAAGCCCAACCTTCCCTGAGGTATACAACCACCATCGCAAGAACAGACCCAAAAAAAACGACTAACATCCAGATTTCTGTTTTACTGGTGAAAACTGTCAATGTGATGCTTACAAGTTGTATTGAAAGACAAATGGGAAAACATTTAAGACATTTTAGGAGATAAAATCCCTCAAGGTACGTTCCTTGACGCCGGTAAGGGGCTCTTGATTAACCTAAACCGGACATCCCTTTTCTTGGGTTCATCCGATATGCTTCCCGCTCTTCAGGCGGCGCATGATCCCTACGGGTGGCGCTTCCCCTGAATGCAATAATAATGATACATAAAGACAAATTAAATATTCCAAGTTTTTGTTCACTTGTCTTTAGCTGCGTATTTACTGCTGGGTGAGGAGGGGCAACAGGTGTAAAGAAACTTGACTATGCGTCTTCACTCGCCCAGAATTATTTTCTAAAATAGCTACAGCTCGTTTTATACTATTAAAAAAAGGGAGTGGCAATACTTAAAACTGCTTTTGACCACTTTCGCAGTTGATAATCGTGATAAACTTTAAGTGTGACTTCAATAAAAGTAAGACATAGAAAATAACATGAATGGATATTGCTATAATCCGGATATAAGACACCAGTGAACAGAACCAAGGGAGATCAATATCATTTCACCAACTGTGAGACTGCTACTGGGCCGCGTCAAAGTAATTAAGGTAATCTAAGAAAGCATAATTCTTCCATTACCTCACCTACTTCACTGGTCCTCACTTCCAATACCCTACCAAATGCACCTTCTCTTTTCCTTCTCTGATGTGATAAAATGTATATCAGCTTACATTTTAAAACCTTTTCTGGTTCAGAATGTCAATGAAATGAACTTAGTTTATTTTATCAACATTCACATTTTCAATAAAGACCTGAATAATATTTTAAGTCTATTCCACTCTTAAACTGAAGACTTACCGAACTTTTTGTTTTAGATATATATATACGGAGTGTCCTCTGTACGTGGCACCAAGATGGAAGCGACAGGGGACCCAGTAATAACAGCGAAGGAGGCAAAGTTTACCCCCGTGGACTACACGGTGTTCGGTCTCATGCTGGTGGTGTCCGTTGTCATCGGGATGATCAGCGCCGTCAAGAGTCGGGGTAAAGTCTCCACACAGGAGTACCTGTTGGGAGGCAGGACCATGTCTCCGGTACCTGTAGCCATCTCTTTATTTGGAGGATGGATCTCTGCCGTATCTATTATAGGTTAGTTCGGGGGATATCTGTAGTTGCCACAATTCCATTTTCTCCTTCGGAGTTTCTGTACCTAAACTTCAGAATGCCTTTTTGATTGGCATTAAATTTTCGATGCTGAAGTATCTTGGAGGATGACTAGGCTGTATAAGTGCTCATTTTTTGAATATATATATATATATATATATATATATTCCTCAAATTTTATTCGTGCATTAATTTGCGAAATTATCTTTTATGTGGCATCTAACTTAAATCACTGTTGCATTTAGTCTACTAAAGTTTAGGCTGTGTAGGTGCATATTTGTCAATTTTAAAATACAATTTAATAAGCAGAAATTATTTGTTCCAATGTGATAACTGGAGAATGCTTCTTCTCATCAATTCAAACTTTTGGCCCTGATTTATCTTGTTTAAAGGCAGGTTTGCAAAAGATAAACAAGACATGTGTGCAACAGTTGTGTATCTTTTATTGTTGAAATGTGTCGCTTACATAGCGGACATCATCAGTCGAACACAGATGACTAAATATCGGAGACATGAGATGCAGTGAAGAGGCAAAGATGAGGTGACCAGTCTCAGCCTGACAGCACTGAAGAAGTTTTGTCGTGGAGAATCCTTCAGTCCTGAGGAATGTTCACCTCTATATTCTCGATCATTGATCCAGACTACAGAAACATAATACCTGGAAGGTGTTTTTTGGAGGGTTAAAGTCCCCACTGCCCAGGCCTCTTGGTGGATCAGGGCCTGATCAACTAGTCTGTTACTGTTGGCCGCACGCAAACCGACGTACAAACCACAGCACGGCTTGTCAGGTACTGACTTTAGGTGCTTGTCCAGTGCCTTCTTGAAGACAACCAGGGGTCTATTGGTAATCCCCCTTATGTATGCTGGGAGGCAGTTGAACAGTCTTGGGGCCCTTGACACTTACTGTGTTGTCTCTTAGTGTACTCGTGGCGCCCCTGCTCTTAACTGGTGGAATATTGCATCTTCTACAGAGAGTTTTTTGATTTCGTAGGGAGTGATTTTCATGTGCAAGTTTAGTACTAATCCCTCAAGGATTTTCCATGTATATATTATCATGTATTTTTCTCGCCTGCGTTCCAGGGAATACAAATCAACCATTCCAGTAATTTAGGTGCTTGATCGTACATATGTGTGCCGTGAAAGTTCTCTGTACATTCTCCATGTCAGCAATTTTGCCTGCCTTGAAGGGGGGAGTTAGGTACAGCTGTATTCCAGCCTAGAGAGAACAAATCATTTGAAGAGAATCATCATGGGCTTGGCGTCCCTAGTTTTGAAGATTCTCATTATCCATCCTTTCATTTTCCTAGCAGATGAGGTAGATGTGTACGAAATGGTATATAATACCGACAAGATGAGAGTAAGACACATGTGCAACATCTGGGTATCTTTATTGTAGACGTTACCTCATCTTCTGTACATAGTTCTACTGTCTTCTAGTTATGTCCTAGAATTTGTATTGATAAAGCCACTGGATGGCGAAACGTCTACAATAAAGATACCCAGATGTTGCACATGTGTCTTACTCTCATCTTGTCGGTATTATATAACCATTTCGTACACAAACTTGTCAGACACTGCAACATCATGGAATCTTAATTCTGAGGACATGTACATAACCTTCACGACTACGACAACTACTTCTACAACTAACCCATCTCTTTGGGAAGGACCTACTTCCACTGGGGAATCCCGCCTACCAGTGAATATGCCCTCGTCTGCTACACCTGACGTTACTATATAAGCGCCAGGATTCTTTCTTCTGCTTCAGAATCTCCACGACTATGGTGCTGTTCGCACCTACTCCTAGTTTGAGGGACTGATTACCTCATCTTCTGTACATAGTTCTACTGTCTTCTAGTTATGTCCTAGAATTTGTATTGATAAAGCCACTGGATGGCGAAACGTCTACAATAAAGATACCCAGATGTTGCACATGTGTCTTACTCTCATCAGATGAGGTAGATACATTGTTGTGAACTTTGAAGGTGAGATCCTGTGACATTGTCACTCCCTGGTCCTTCACATTAGATTTTTGCTCTATTGTATGGTTAGAATTTATTGTATACCCTGATACAGTCTTAATTTCCTCAAGTTTTCCATGTCTGAGTAGTTGAAATTTCTCTTCACTGAACTTCACATTGTTTTCAGCGGCCCAATTAAAGGTTTTGTTGATGTCTGCTTAGAGTCTTGCAGCGTCTTCAATGGAGGACACTGTCATGGCAATTCGGGTGTCATCCGCAAAGGAACCAGCAATTTTTGTCGCTGTATATATGAATTTACATTATTTACGTAAGTTTTATTTGATAATTGACGCATTTCAATGTCCTTTTTTAAAGGGGTGGACCGGTAAGCCAGTGGAAGGCTTTGGTCAGATGACAAGTATTTGAAGAAAGGAAACAAGCATTTGAGTAAGGTTGATTAAATTTGATATACATGCAAATTCATGTATATCAAATCAGTGAAGTTATTAGGATAATGACAGAGAAATTTGTTCCGGAAAGAAATGGGTGAGCGGATAGTATTAGTCAAGACTTTAAGAAGCCTTCGATAGAGTTCTAATTTGGAAATAGTATAATACAGGAGGAATGAAAAGAATATTATTACAGTGAATGAGAGATTCTTTTTGAGAGTAAAATGCTAATAGTTACACCGATAAAAAATGTGTTCGTGGGGAGATGTCACAAATGGGGTGCCACAATAGTCTGTGATTGCCCCAGTGATGTTCTAACTTTTATTGACTCATCAGAAGGAATATACATCAGTGTGTGCTTTCCACACCGGAAACCCACGTGTATGTTAGAAAAAGTCTGAAGAAGAACTGTACGATGATTACCAGCACTACAAAAAAATATATTTTTATCATAACCTTAAAGATGTCACTCTACCTTAAAGAAAATGAGATGACATGATAACAACAAAGTCATAAAAGGCACCAAAGACTACATAAAGATTTCTTGATACCTACAACAGGAATAAGAAGCCACAGCTGTAAACTGAAGAAAAAGTGGAGCTGAAAGACTATTACAATTTTTTCATCACAATTCTTCATTAAAAGAATGATTTCGAAGATGAGGGAGTAAATGTTATATCCAATATAAACTTTAAAAACTATTTTGATGAATAAATTGTATATGATGGGACATCACACACAGAACTCTACTCGTGTAGCTTCAAATAGATAATATTAAAGAACAATATTACTGGAACAATACACAGATAACCTGCACATAGGAGAGAGAAGCTTACCACGACGTTGCGGTCCATTTGGACCATTTACAAAGTCGCACTGACAGAAAGAAGAGAAGGAGCAGGTATATGTAGGCCATCTGGCAGGGACGGAACAAGAGAGGTGGGAGTAGTAGTAATAGTAGAGGTAATGCAGGTTGTGGAAGTAATATTAGAAGTAGTAGTGGTAGAAGTTAGGCTGGTAGTGGAAGTAATAGTAGTAGAAGTAGTGGTAGTGTAAAATAGGAAGAGTGGCTGGTGGGACAATAATAGAAAGGGGGAGAGAAAATGAAAGCAAAAGTGAAGATGGGAGCCAAAGGTAGTATGAAAGGAAGTAATAGTAGAGTTAAAGACCGATATAGAGAAGCACTGCAGGAGAGCTTAAGTGCCCACAAGGGGCAAGACCAAAAACACAGGGAAGAAAGTAAAGGACAAAACACCCAAGGCAGAAGAATGGAAACCCAAAACAGGAAAAGGGAAAAATAGGAAAGGAGAAGAGGTAGTAGAAGGAGGAGAAAAAACAATCAGGTTAAGTCACGTATGTTCTGAAGAATGGAGCATTTGACAATGTAATGAGAAAGGAAGGCATCTACAGAAACAAAGCCAGGACTAAGATTCATACAAGGAAAGTTGTGTTAAGGAAGGATTCAATAAGACGGCGACTGTGAAAGTTAGACGTAGGGTAGACAGTTAGACAGTTTTAGCAGAAGACTAGCGAATAGGATGACTGCACTGTTGGTGTCGGCAAGCCTAACACTACTTTTGTGCTTCTTGAGTCTGTCAGAAAGAGAGCGGTCAGTTTCTCCAAAGTACCGAAGGGGACAAGAGGAATATGAAATAGTGTAGACACTAGGAGCATCTATAGCGGAAGGAAAGATACGAACTAGTCTTTTGTTAGTCATGTGAAAGGTAAGTTTGATGTCTAAGGAATGGAGAGAGTGGTTGAGATTAAAAAGACTGAAATTATAGGGAAGGTAGAGAACAGGAGACTGCTCAGGAGTAGAGAGTCTGGGAGAGAAGTCCGTTTAGTACGTGAGAATGCAATTTTATGAAATGGGAAGGAAAACTATTACGAGCACAGGTATAGTATGGCCTGCGACCTGTTCATAATGAATTTCAAAGTGGAGCAAAGTCAGCAGTACTATATAACTTTTATTTCCTTCACCATATATAATTTGCCAGATATATATAAGTATGTACACTTATGTAGACTATGTACAGAGGATGAATAGTAAGTGCACCACACGGTGACTAAAGATGGCAAAAGCAGAAGCCAGAGAGAGTGCACTATATCAACCAGCAGCTCAAACAAGTCTGTCAATACTTACCATAAGTACAGAAAAGTTGATAGAAGCAGAAGATACTTGAAGACGATGTAATCAGTCCATCACCCTTGAAGTTTTGAGGTGGTCAGTCCCTCAGTCTGGAGAAGAGTATTGTTCCATAGTCTGAAACAATATGGAGTTGAAGTGACAGGATTGAGCCTTATATAACGCCAGGAGGTGAGATGTAGGGCACTAGTAGAGGTAAGAATGTTGTCGTTGGAAGGTCAGGTCCCTCTCAAATCCAGCCATTCTCACTAGTAGAAGTAGTGAAGTAGCCTCTGTTTTTCAGGATTAGCTCTGTAGGGGGAGAGTTTAATAGGCTTAGTATTTCTGACATCTGCATCATGATATCCAAGGGTACATGTTTTTGGAACATCTGAAAATATGTCAGGATAAGTTTGTAAAAGAGTCGTTAGGCTTGTTATTTCA